AGTTATATGTACTAGCAGGAAATAAACCCATAAATTTAGCTCACATTCAACTCTGATATTTTCCTGCAAGCAAGAATTATTATAGGTGTGTGTCCTGTCCTGAGGAACTCAGAAAAAGATACTATGAAAGCCCTGTTGACAACAGGCCACATAGGATAAGAAAGTTCTGAATAATTTCTATCTGTAGTCCCTGCCAAGTAACTATAAAATCTCAAATATGAGTATGCTGGAATCTTGAGGTTGGCAGGCAAAGAAAGGCATATGGTTCGGCAGTATAGAAAAGGAGAAGCATATGATTTTTGTAATTATGGCTGTTCTCTGCTATTTTGATTCTATTTTTCTTTGGACGTATAATGAAAGTTACTTCCTTGGGTGTGACCATGAACTGGCTTTGACCAATGGAATGTAAGTAGCGATTGTATGTGCCATTATTGGGAAGAAGCCTTTAAGTTAGAGCATGACTTGCCATATTTCCTCCCCTCTGCTGTGTCTATTGTGGGAGCTCATATCAATAAGGAGCCTCTATTAGCATGAGTTCCATTAACTGGGAAGAAACCCCCTGACAACCTAGTATGGATATATATAGCATCAAGATAAATAAACCTTCATTATTTTATGTCAATGAGATTGTGAGGTTATTTATTTTTGCCCATCTTTACTGATCCACATGATTTCTATGAAAGGTGAATTATTTAAAAAAAAAAATTTTTTAATCGATTCCAGAGAGAAGAGAGAGAGACAGAGGTGAGAAAGAAAAAAAAAATCAACTAACTGCCTCCTCATGGGCCTTGACTAGAGATGCAACCAGGGTATGTGTCTTGACTAAAAATCAAACCTGCCTGTCACCTTTTGTTGTACAGAATAAAGCTCTGACCAACTGAACCCCACTGAACAGGGTGGAAAGCTCAATTCTTAAAGAAAGTAAAGACCAGAATTAGGCCTGTGACAGAAACCTGGGTGAGTTCAGGAAACAATCTGGGTGAACAGCTATCAGAAGTTGATAATCATCTACAGATAAAAGACAGTAGGCAGAATTAGATGAGGACCTTAAGTTCCAAGTCAATGAAGTCGACAATTTGAAACTGCATTCCAGTTCTAGTAAGGAATACAACTGACTCAGTGGACATGTCAAGTGGAATACAGAGGCATGGATGGTGGGTACTGAGATGAAGGGATGGTTTCTTCTATGGTTATGCAGGAACCTGGATTTTCTCTAGTGGACTCCAAATATCAAGGGACCATCTTAGATTCCTTTCAAATACTAGAAACCCAGTGCACAAAATTCATGCACTTGGGAAAGTGGGGGAAAGTCCCTCAGCCCAGTCTGCGCCCTTTTGCAGTCCAAAAGCCTTTAGGAGCTGTCCATCTGCTGTGGAGGCAGGAAAAGCTCTTGCCACTGCACTGTGAGCCCAGCTTCTGGCTGAGTGGCACTTCCCCTGTGGGAGTGCACTGACCACAAGGGGGCAGTAGTTCCTGCATTGAGCATCTTTTCCCTGGTGGTCAGTGCATGTCATAGCAACCAGTCATCCCGCCATTTGGTCAATTTGCATATTAGCCTTTTATTATTTAGGATTCTTCTGGACTGGGACCCTGGGCTTGCCTAAGCTTGCAATTGGTAGGTCATCACCATGACCAGGATTAGAACTAGAGCAGACAGGTTCTGAAACAAACAGCAATTGGTAGTAGAGTCTATCTGACAATGTGATAATGGTTTTTCTAGAAGAATGCTTTAGCTTTCCATTTCCCAGTTTTAACAATAATTGTTCAAGGAACATTATAAGTTATATTCTCTAAAAGTAATAGCCATCTTTTTTACCTTTTTTGGTGAGGAGGGTGGAAGGGACTCACTACTCATTTTTCACAAATTGTAGAGCCTGAAAATAAACCATTTTTATATGGTTATCACTAGTGATAATTAAATCTAAAATTGGTCCTTTGGATTAAGTATCCATAGTTTCTAGTTCACTAAGATTCACTGTATAGTGTTTCCTGAGTAGATTTAAACATTTTAAAAACTCCCATCATGTGCAAAACTATGATGGAATTTTGCAGCTGTTTCATAGTAAACATATTAAACCAAATATAACCCAATTTGAATTATTAAACATAAATTTATCCTTATTAAATAATATTTACAATTTTCTAGTATTGGTCTATTTTTTTCCATTTTTAAAATTGTAAGTACAATTCAGCATGTTAAAACTGCAGATTTTACAAAATTAAGAAAAATCTATAGATTTGAAATAGAACTGCTTTAAAATTATGATGGTTTTTATTTTCTTTAATCAGGAAATGACAATGTAACAGTAAGAAAAAAACAATACCCAAAATAAGACTTGAGTCATATATTTTGTTCTGAACAATTAATTTTTCTTTGTACAAAGAGTTTGATATAATTACAGGCCATGAGACATGGAAAGAAGATATATTATGTATATTAGTCATCCTTTTCTCTTGATGTTTGTTTTCTCTTTTTTTTAACTTATAAAAATTAACATTGGAAAAGGATTTTATGTGTATTCTGATCTCTTACCTATATATAGTAAAACCTATTTTTGTTGTTATTGTCATTTTTTTTTTTTTTCTTGCAAACTGCCATCCAAGTGCGGATGGAAGACAGTTTTAAAGAATTGTGGGAAAGGAATGTGGTCTCATGTAACTATAAAGGTTGCAATCTATCCATACATACCTTCTTTATGGTAGGCATGCAAATGTTGGCTCTTGTGACCTATTAAGATTCCTTAAAGAGTGGATTGTTCCTTTCATAGTGTATGGTTCTCTGATGTGGATCAACAACTCTGCCTGAAATCTTGCCCTCCAGCCCTGGGATAGCCCTGTGTCTCCCATCCCCATTTTCCCTGGACTACTCTAGATAACTGAGTTTGGAGGTTCTTCAGATATCTAGAATCAAGTACTAATCCAATAGAGAGGAGCTTACTGGTGAAGGACATTTATTTCTTCAGAGATTATCAAACTGCTAACTACATGCTGAATTGCTTATGGGTTTGTTCACAGGGTTGTATACTTTGTATTGTTTTTACTTCATTAATTGCTTATCTCCTTATTATCTCCTCCCCTATACTTTAACTGAGTGTATTTTACCCTTATTTTTATAACACCTTGTGCTTAACGTTTAGCCTAGTAATTAAAAATTTTATGCCTTTCTGCATTTCTAATATGTACATTTAAATATATACAGTTCCATCTAAATATACTTTTAGCTGCATGTCACACATTTGATATCTATTTTCATTATTTTTGACTACATAATGTTTTAAAATTTTCAATATAAATTCTTCTTCAATTTGTAGGTTATTTAAAGCATTACTGTCCAATAAAAAATATGTAAACCACAATGCCAGGTCCTTTTGTGATTTAAATATTTAACCTTTTTAAACTTAAACCTTTGAATTACAATATTTTTTGGTCCTCTGATTGTGCTCAATGAGATACCTTGATACTGTAACTCCAGATTCTTGAACACAACTTTTGTCTCTTTCTTATAGGCTCTATTTCCTTCCCATACCATAATCTTCTTGATTCCTCCAATACTCCTGCTATTAACTCTTCAGGCTTCAGACTGTCTGATCCTGCTGCTGTCTAATCTTTACCTCCACTGTGCTGTTTGAACCATCACCATCTGAAACCCAGACAGTCTCAAACATTTGGACTACTATGAAGAATGTTTAAATCCCTGTTCTATTTCAGAATAAGAAATATTCTTAAAATAATGTATGAGTTTAAGTATTTTATCAAACTTGTTAGTTTATTCCCTTTCACCCTCCAGTTTATCTATAATATTCTTTTTTTATTTTTTTAAATATATTCTAATGATTTTGCACAGAGAGGAAGGGAGAGATAGAAACATCGATGAGAGAGAGTCATCGATCAGCTGCCTCTTGCACACCCCCTACTGGGGATATGCCCGCAACCAAGGTACATGCCCTTGACCGGAATCGAACCCGGGACCCTTCAGTCCCCAAGCCGATGCTCTATCCATTGAGCCAAACCGGTCCCGGCTATCTATAATATTCTTGCCTCACTAAAAAAGCTTCCTAAAAGCTTCATGCAATCCAATCTTATAAACTTGGCAATTCACCAATAGGATATTTATATTTACTCTGATGAGCAAAAAGTGTTTGTCTTAAAAAATACATGAGACATACACACTCAGCCTAGACTACATCTAATACTGCATGATACATATTGGAAAATAATGTCCTCCATTATGTCAAACCTACTGGATCCCATCTCTTATTTCCAACTAGGATAAGTTTATCTTAGTCAGTGCTGATGTGACAATGGGACTAATGACTGCAGAAACCTTATTCAATAAGTATTTATGTTATTGAGAGTGACATTTGGGACAAGAGTTAACTATTTGAGAAGTCAAACTGGCATGAGCTAACTACTACTTTGTGCCAGGAAATTTAAAAAAAGAAAGAAAGAAATGTGCCTTAAGTAAAAAAGATGGTTAAATATAAAAAGAAAAGAAAATAAGAAAAAAAAATTCTGGCTTTGACGTACCATCCAATAACAATTATGTTTAAAAACTTGTTTGTATATCATACATCTTCTCTCAGTTTATAGGAAAGTCAGGTTCTTGGCTGGCTTTAATTGCTGAATTCCTTAAATATGCATAGAAAATGTCAATCCTTTACCCTACAGATATAAAAACCTGCAATGTTATGCCAGGCAACAGGTCCTTTCCCAGCATTTGCTGGTGTTTTGCCTGCAAGAACTATCCAAGAAGGAATAAAATTTAGCATCAGAATGAGAATGAATTACAGTAAAAAAAAATTCCAGGAGACAGAGAATTTTGCACTGAAGAAAAATTATAAACTGGTTAGAATCAGGGGAGTTGAGAGTGTCCCTTTAAACTGTGCTGTTGGAATTGATTTCTGTATGTTTTCTGGTATACGCTCCTTTGAAAGGAGAATGAGAGCCGAGATCATTGGCTGCACTGTGAAGCTGTCACGTCTCAGTCCTGAAAAGGTGCAGTACAAGTGGTTTGAAACAGTCTTTAGCTTTCTATTTCCTATCGCCAAGAGCTTTGAGAATAAACCAAGCGAACGCTTTATTCAGGGCTAAGTGAGTTACAGAGCCCTCCATTCTGACAGCGTTTCAACCTCGGAGTGAGGGAGTGAGAAAGCAGCAGGAGCAGCAGCCGCAGAAGCACAGCAGCCACAACAGCAAAGGCAGCAGCCCCTACTGAAGTCCAACAGGGGAGACTTGATCTCCAGTTCATGTTGGAACTCCCTCCACCCGGCATCGTGCACTGTCCAGGGTCCTGAAACATGAACCAAACTGCCAGCGTGTCCCATAACATCAAGTGCCAGTCCTCCTCAAAAACAATCAAGGTAGGACTCGGGTTTTCTCTCTTTCCTCTGCTTTTTCTGCACATGTGTCTTCATTCATCTGAACACGCGGACATCTGCATAGGAGGGCACAGACAGTGGAGATGCCCAGCTGGTGTGAGTTTGACTTAAGGTTAGATGGGACTTGAAGGGTTTGGTTCTGTTTGCATGTATGTGTAGACCAGAGGGAGTTGCTTCCTCTCCGCAATTCTTTTATTTTAACGACTTGTGCTTTTTTTTTGGTGAGAATCTGTTAGTGGTATATTTGAGGAAGAAAGTTTAGTGAACTTCTAGAAGAGTTTCTGGTTTTCTTGAGAAAACTGGTGGAGGATTTTGCCAACTGGTGGAAACAGATAATATTACACTGAATATGACATTGTATTTCATTGTCATCTGGATTGGGGACTTCTTATTAATTCTGAAAGCAATGTGTATCCTTCACCGTGAGTGTTTAATTGGTGGTTACACTAAAGTGGCTAAGTGAGGAAGTATAAAAGGTTTATAAGGGGATTATAAAAACGGATGTTCTTATGTATGCCACCATATAACTCAAAACCAGTGAGGTGATTAAAGACACCTTTACTTCAGGTGCTTATTTCAAATTTGAAGCTTTTCTTTAATGATTAAAGGAAAAGGACCAAATTGAAAATTCTACTGTTCTGTTTTAGTTTTAAGTAATGTTTATGCCATTCTCTTTGTTTTTATTTGGGAGATTCTTACTTTCAAGGAGAGATAAATATGCAGATTTCCAGTGAAGGATTTACTCTATTTTGTCATTTATCTGTAAAAGACTATCAGTAAATTATTATCTGTGTGTATACTTTATATTTGGGGGGGAGGGGGCAAGTGATGAGTTCCTCTGAAGCTCTTTTATGGAAAATATATCATAATCTGATTGATCAACTTTAGTTACTACAATCTTTAATTCATGTACAATTGCATACATTTTACTGAGATTCAAAATTTGAGAAAATTCAAAATTTGAGAAGACTTACTTTTTAAATTACATTATCTTTTGGTTTACATCTTAGGCTTGGGGAATAATTCATAGACTATCATTACAAAGTTATATAATTTTCAGCAATAAATCTCTTTTTAATGAACCTTTTGTCAGTCTTTCAGTGACAAATATACCATAAATTGAATATTTTCTGCATGTATCTGCAATTATTTTTGAAAGCAATAAGATCTCCAGGATGAATCACATGATGCATAATTACACTCCCATCAGAAATAAACACATAGAGTTAACTAAAATCATTAAGAAGCCAAATTCAGATAATTCACACCATTTATAATGGCAAAAGTAGAATCATATTAGCATTGGATTTTCTGCACTCTGTCCAAGTTTGGAAAGAAAATACCAAGCTTTAGAATTTTAGTTTTTATGAATGTCAGATTTCCATGTATGTCAGTTACATAAGCATACCATCACTAAACAATGACAAAACAATGCATATATCACACTCTACATTGTGATCTATAAACTCCACTAGGAAATGTGTGTTGTAGGAAAAAGTGCAATTGAATTGTGAGCTAGCTATCTACCTTTGAGTCTGTTTAAAACCATAAAATGACCAGTGGCTTCCTGTGTAAGTGCGTGAGGTCATAGAAATTATGTGGGTTTTTTTGTCCTTTTATTATTGGGTAAGGACACATAAATGCTACTTTCTGGAACTTAAAGTCACTTCCCTTTTTGGTACTCTGGCATTGACCACCATCAGACAAACTGTGGAGCTAGAAAAATGTTCCTAGTGTAAGGGTTTTGCATCATCTTGCTGATCTTGCAGATGCTCTGTGTGTTTTTTTTAATATTTTAACTGCAGCCATTGACTTGAAATGAAAGGCATCATAAAAATTGGACAACCCACCACTTAGCAATGTGTTATATTAATGGCGTAATGAAGTAATCTTGAATCAAGGCTCTGGGTGATTTGGTTAATTGTACAAGTAAGTTCTTTTGTGTCCCCTCACCTTCCCACACACATACACTCCTGCCTTGATATTGCTCTGGGGAGCCAAAGATGCTTGTGATGTTCATAAACTATATACAGTTGCAAACATAGAACTATTAAGGGAGTAATTACTTGAATATTTCTCAATCTGCAGGATTAAAAAGGCATAAGTGGAAAAACTCTCTTCAAATTATGTGTCCAATTATGAAACATTTATGGCTTTTGGAATTTATACTAAAAACAACTATCTATATTTAGGTAATGCATTACCCTATGGAAAAATGCAGTAACAAAGTAAAGGAAAACTCCAAGATGAGAAGGTTTTTGGAAATATATTAGATGTCAGGGCTCAAAAGACTCTGAACTTTTAGATTCCTTCTTTTTTTGTTTCTGGCATGGTTTTCCAGAGTTTATTCTTTTTTCTTCACTCTTAAATAGTGATGTGACCCAATCGGAGCTCTGAAAATACTCAAATACCTAATAGCCATAAATTGCTCCATTTTAGAAATTCTAAAACCTCTGGGGACTTTTGCTCCATGGTTCAGTATAATACACATCTAGAGAATGAATTGTTCTCCATTTCCATGTAGTAAACAATGGCTGTTCCTTCTCTTGGCAATTTACTGCTAAAAGGAAGGTAATAGAATGAACAAAAATGAATTGCATCACTAAAAAAATAATAATAAAATAAAATAAAATAAATAGCTTTAAAGCCCAAATGTGTAGGAGGAGGAAAAAAACAGAGGTGTGTGTGTGAGTGTTTATTTCTCTGCTTGAAGTTTTAAATGCAATAATAACTGCAGTGATTCGAATTCAGCAATTGTTGCCCCTTAAGGCTGTTTGTGGTCATGCTTGTGATAGAGTTGGAGAAGGAGGGGTCAGGTGGTAAACATTATTCAGGTTGCATGACATTTGTTTCTGTGATTCTGGCAATTCTCCCACTTAACCAGTGCCTGACACACTTTTCCCTGTTGTACTTGAGCAGGTATGTCCTGTAGTCAAAGCTGATAGGAGACAACAGAGCAGAGGAAGTCAAACAAAGGGTCCAGGTGTGTTCTCAGATCACTTTGGACAAAATGTTGAGTGCCATGTCCCCTTAAAAGCCTCTCCCATTTCAGAGCTTGAAAAGAAATAAAGCTTTTCCTGGAATCACTGTAAATCGTACTGTCAAGATAGCAGCACTCTTAAAAAAAATCTTACATCTAAGGTCTGTACTGAAAAGTTTTAAGGATTGTTTGGGAATACTAAGTGCACATCTAATCTTGGCTTACTATAAACTTGATTTCTGAAGAATTGCCCCCACCTTAGGCAACAAACTTGTTTTTTTTTCATCTCTATTTTGGCTTCTCCTAGCTATACTGAAATATAATTAAGTTTTCCAGTCAAATCTCAAGACTTGGTTTATTTTTCCCCAGCGGAATTGCAAATTTAGAATTATGCCTAAAACAATGAGATTTTTGTTTCTTTCATATTCTAATATAAGTTTAGCATTCATGTATGTCTAAAAGTAGTAGAGGAAATCATTCATCTTTTCCTTTTTTAGGTTAGAGATTGTGTGTGAATTATCAGGGTTGGTGATTCCTATATCATGGATCATATACATTTTATTTATCACAGAAATACCAAAATATAGTCCTCAACATTTCTTTACTTTCCCCATCCAGTGATTCTTTCCTATCAATCTCTTCTTCCCTTCCCCTTTTCAAAATCTGCCTGGTTTATTCTATCACTAACTTCACACCTAAGTTCCTAATTTTATGTAGTAAGGATCCCAGGTTCTAAAGTTCTAGTTTACCACCACCCCCTGCCCCCCGCCCCCCTGCAATAATCCTGTTGGAGGAGCTGCAGGTTTTTCACAAAACATATCCAAAGGAGTCTTTAGAATTTTCTTTGTCTTCGGGGTAAAACACTGATGAGTAGGCAAACACTTCTTTCAATTTAGACTGCAATTTATATTGTACTATGAGGTGTTATTATGCTAATAAAAATATTTCCCCCTTACTACTTCTAACCCACAGCACAATAGATAAAATAAAGGAGTAGAAAAGAACAAAATTCTTATCACAAGGTTGCTTTGTTAAATCTTTAGGCTTGAGGAAAAGGTAGGTAGAAAATAGTTTTTGTGTTTACAAATTGCTATTTTGCGGTGCAACATTGTGATGAGTTTTAATAGGCTTGGAACGGCAAGGACTGGCGTCTTACTGATTGTGAATTGTACACCCCTGGGCTAACTGATGGCTACCACATCTGTAATTCTTCTGGTACTTGAGCTGATATTGCAGTTTAGTCTTAAAGAACGTTTCATAGTTAAATACCCAAATTACATTCACAAAATATTAAAAGTATGGAGCACATGTAAGAAAAAATACCACCTTTTTATGTCATCACAATACATAAATGGAAGATTCCCCCCCACACCCCCCAGTTTCATTATCATGTGAAAATCTAAATGCAAAGATTATAATATGCTGTTCTACTGTGCCTTGTATTAGAAGGTTTTCTTGGGCCTAACCCTGTGGGTTTTACTCATAAGGAGAAAAAAACGTTACTAAATTATGTCAACACAGACTCAGACATACTAAAGAAAGTGTTGCTTTCAGTATTCTGAGATCCCTACAGTTCCAGCTGGCAAAGTACCAATTGCTCCTCAGCATTAGATGAGCAGGTCATCCTTTTAAGTGGTGATATTTGAAGAAGCCAAAAGAGAAGACTTAACAAGAAGCATAGAATAAAGGATATTGTGTTTGTGATAATTCTTTTCTCTTAGAAATGTTTTTTTAATAATTCTGACAGAGCACCATTCATATGCTTAAGGCAAAAATCACAGCCTATGTTGTTGCAAAGGAATAGGACCACAAGTTAGAAGTTCGGCTGATGACCAATTTATAGTCATGTACAATTTGCATTTGTTGCCAACCTTTTACACATTTAAGATTATAGGATAATTTTATTTCAAATAGCTATAAATTCACAGGTTTTTTTTTTAAAGGTTGTACTAGCTATTTTTTATTTTCTTTTTAGTAAAATGTTATAAAATTGGCCAGTTTT